CACCTCCATGTTTGATATTACTATGAACTTTAGGTAAAGCCCTCAGGCAAAGTCTACAGAAATGCAGCCGTACGGACAGTGTGCATAAAGCGTCTGCTGGAGAGCCCTCATGCCCTCGATGGTTATACACTGGGACAGAACTAAGACCTCACAAACTTCCCGGGAACACGTCTCCAAGTCTGTGAGTCTGTGAGGGGGGAACATTGGGATTGGGCCAATTACTACTGAGGGTTCCCTAGCCCACAATGAACAGCACGTCTCTTGCAATGTTTCAAAATAAAAGTCCATCATGAGTTTAATGCAAATCAATGCGATACCGTGCTTCTATCTGGATAATATATTTCAGCATGAATGATAGTAAATGACAACAGCCATTGTGCACTAACCTTCCTCTACTGACTTAAATCAGAGGGCAGAAACATTCAGCTGTATTTTAAATATAAACTGTCTGATATGAATTGTTCAAGTCTACCAGAATTAAATTTCCTACAAACATCTAACCTGTTAAACCAGGTGCTTACTTATACTTTTCATTGGTTTCATTGGTTGATCAGCAGTGTGAGAGCACACCTATCTTCCATGCTCTGAGTCTCAAAGTTACTGTAGCCTACATGATTGCTGCGTCAGAAATCTAGTTAATGACGAGTGATGCACATGACTGTAAATCACACAGATGGAGAACAGGTGCACGCAGCAGGTATATATGGGTAATATAGGCTAATCCATTTTAATATCATTAAGCCATGAGAAGTTTATTAGGTACGCCTTGATGAAGCTAATGTAGTGTAATGTAATAAAACAGCCCTAACTTCAGCAAGGTTATAATGTTACATTTTTTATGAAATCTATTTTTGAGAGGTGTTTGTTCATCCCATCTTGAGGATAGACTAAATATAAGAAACATCTCTCAGTAACCCAGTACAGTTCAACAGCACCACAAACTACAGCTGACACACAAAATAAATCAAAAACCTCTCTGAGACATTAAATAAAGACTTATACAATATTAAATTGCACTCATTTTGTATCTAGGAGTACCATGTAAACTTAGACAAACATGCAATGCTAAAGACATGCTAATATGACACCATAAAGTACGCTGCTCTTGCACCTGCTGAATAACCATACTGTATCCTCCTGTTCTCAGGAGTTTATACTCCTGAATCTTACTTGCCAAGTTCGAACTCCCAAAGAACAAGAGTCAAAACTTGGCGTTCTTAGTATTGAGAAAACACTTACTGTGCAAAACTGCTTTGCGCTGCACCTAGGGCCTCAATTATACTGGAGAGTATCATTATTAATTTTATGGCCAATATAATCAATTATGTACAGTTTGTGGACTCCACAGACCCACAGCTGTTCCTGTTGTACGACTTTCTAGTCTGCTTCGATTCTGCTCGGACCGTCAGTAGTGTCCTTATAGTGCAGTGCTCACACGGACAAATTGGAGGGTACACAGACATCCACACACAGGCTCTCTGATGATGAAATTTTAGCACCCTATCAGACCCTCGCATGCTTGAGGATTTAGAAAGTGTAACACTAACCAAAGTCTAAGTCTATTGGTAGGGAAAACCCTGTATGTAGCTTCAAAATGAGTAATGAAGAGTAATGCATGGGAAAGTTATAGAGAAAATGTAAACAGCTTTCACACCTAGGCCTACCTCCAATGGGCCTGCATCCACTACGTGCACAGTAATGACTGTGAACGTGCTTCAGGTATGGACGCACAACACTAATAATTTACAGTTTACATCACACTGATCCGCTGTTGCTCCTCCATGTCTGGCAAGTGCAATATTTGTTTATGATGTCAGCCTCCAGATAGTCCCCGCCCATTCAGTCAATCACTCACAGGCCTTCACATTTATAGGGCTGGCCCTGCTGTTGACGTTCACCAAGAAAGAGAAAATAGGTTGTTTACTCCCCGTCAGGGAATCGAACCCCAGTCTTCCGCATGGGCAGAGATACTGACCACTACACTAACGAGGAGAGGTTAAGACTGTCGTGTGACCGCATCCAGACAGTCGGTGGACTGTTGATGGTTCTTCTTAAAGAAATATGTGCAAATGCTTGGAAAGCTCCTGCAAATTATGTTAGGAGCTTCTGATAGGCTTAGTGACATAATCTGAGTTAATTGGAAATGTACCTGTGGGAGTGTTTTCAGGCCTACCTTCAAACTCTGTGCATCTTGGCTTGACATCATGGGAAAATCAAAAGAAATCAGCCAATTTGTCTGAGAATAAATGGACCTCCACAGGTCTGGTTCATCTTTGGGAGCAATTAGGTAGCACATTGGTCTGTAAGAACAACAGTACACAAGTATAAACACCATGTGACTATGCAGGTGTCAGACCATCAGGAAGGAGACATGTTCTGTCTTCTAGAGATGAACTTACTTTGGTGGGAAATGTTCAAATCAAGGTCAAAACAACAGCTAAGGACCTTGTGAAGATGCAGGATGGGATCAGGTACGAAAGTATCTCTATCCAAATTAAAACGAGTCCTATATTCAACACCACCTGAAAGGCTGCTCAGCAAGCAAGAACCCACTACTCCAAAACCGCCATTAAAAAAAAAAAGCCAGACTCCAGTTTGCAACTGCACATGGAGGCAAAGTTCTTACTTTCTCAAGAAATGTCCTGCGGTCTGATGAAACAAAAATTAAACTGTTTGGCTATAATGACCCTCATATGTTTAGAGAAAGAAGGATAAGACTCTCAAGCTGAAGAACACCAACCCAACCATGAAGCATTGGGGGGTGGCAGCATCATATTGTGGGGGCGCTTTGCTGCGGGAGGGACTGGAGGGTTGCGTCACAAAATTGATGGCATCACGAGGAAGGAAAATGATGTGACTGAAGCAACATCTCAAGACATCAGCCAGGAAATTAAAGCTTGGTTGGAAATGGGTCTTCCAAATGGACAATGACCCCGACCATGCTTCCCGGTGTGTGAGCAAGGAGGCCTACGACCCTGACTCAGTTCCACCAGTTCTGTCAGGAGGAACGGACCAAGATTCAGCAAACCTATTGTGAGAAGCTTGCGGCAGGCTACCTGGGACGTTTAACACAAGTTTAACCGTTTTTAAGGCAATGCTACCAAATATTAAAGTGAATGTGAACTGCTGACACACTGATAATGTGATGAAAGAAATAAAGCATGAAATAAATCATCCTCTCTACTATTATTTCAACATATCACACTCTTAAAATGAAGCAGTGATCCTAACCTACCTGAGACAGGTCATGTTTATTAGGATTAAATGTCAGGAATTCAGCAAAACTGACTTTCAATGTATTTGACAAAAGTGCACGTCAACATCAAGAAGATCTGTATTAACACTAAAATAAAACCTATATATAGCAACAGATCAAAGACTAAAGGAAAGTGAACTGAAAATGAAAATGAAAATTACTTTTTAATGAAAAGGACAAAAAAAACAAAGAATATTTGAGCATTTTTTTTATCCAGCATCAACATGTTTATATTCAGTAGTCCCACCAGTGTGGCAGTAGCCAGCTGTGTGGTGAAAATGCTCCTGATGTCTCTTTTTTGGTGGCATATCTACAAAGCACAACATGTGTTGGCACAGACAAACTTAAGTTGATTGTGCAGTTCAAGATATTGGGAGTGACAGTTCATTCTAACATTTTGTCTTAATTAACTACACTATAATGTGACAGTATGGAACAATGCACTACAGTACGTTGGCAGTTTATTAGATTAGATATAAGTGAGGTATCTTTCATCAAATAAAAGTTCATATGTTCAAACTGTTTACCAAAACAACAAGCTTACGGCTCCAGAGAACAGAGGAAAACAATGATAACGCAGAGTTGATCATTTCTGTGGGGATACATATATATCAATAAAAATATAACAGATTGATTAGTGCAGGGGCGGCACAGTGCCAGAGTGGTTAGCAATATCGCCTCACGGTGAGAAGGTCCCACAGTCTAAAAGAACTGCAGGTTAGGTTTAATTGGTGACTTGAACTTGCTCCACCTGTGCGAATGTGTGTGTGTGAGTGGTTGTATGTCTCTATATGTCAGCCCTGTGATAGACCGGCGACCTGTCCAGGTGTACCCTGCCCCCCGTGACCCTATAAGGTACAGCGGTGTGGCGAATGGATGGATGGAGGATTAGTGCAGCAATAAGGCACTGCAACAAAACCTGCAACTTTCATTCAATGTGAGAGTTTTTCAATTGTCAGTTTACGGAATATTTCAACCAAGTCATTTTTGGCCATTTTTTTCCCCGCCCAATAACAGTTGCCTATTTCATTGATTAATTCCAGTGATTGTGGATAATGAAAAACTGTCACACTGGAATACTGCATGCACACAAACTCAATCACATGCACACAGGTAAAAAAAAAAAAAGTTTGAGCTGCTGGTTAAGGGCTTTGGCTTTTTGACCCCCTGTAAGTTTTATTTTCATGTGAGTGTGACAAATCCCTAGGCTCTTGTCCTGTCTCACACTGGGACACACATAAAGAGACAGGAAGTTTTTACCAAGGACAATTTATCCAATGACCATGAAGAGGTGATGGGATTAAATATTTCAGACAAACCGTCTTAAGGGTAATTATCTAATATAGCTGCACGTCAACTAGGAATGCTTACAAGTAGCTCAATGTTAAGTTCAGCACAATGGGACACCCGCCTATTATGGAACAAGAAAAGCCGCTCTACTTTTGCGGAGGGGTTTGCTTGGAGATTCCAAAACACAAACAACAGGAATTTGTTCATTTCACCATGCTGCCTTTGTTCCTGCTGAACCCCGGCGTGCATTCTTGGAGCGGGATCAATAGATTGAGTGTAATTCTTGTAGCTGTCAGCAAGAAAAATTTAATTTGTCAGCTGTCTTGGCACAGTGTCAGGAAATGTTTGACTGCGTGACCCTGGGGCCCAGTAGGAGTGTGATATGAAGGAGGGTATATAAATTTCCAGGCTCCAACACGGGGCCACAGTCTGGCTGCCTGAGGAGACTGCCACACACACACCTGCAGCAGAGAAAAAGGTAAGACAAAAAGGTTGGCTGCTGAGTTTTACTTTGAAAATTTTCACAAAAAGTGTGAGTGGGATACACTGGACTGTAATCTGATGTGTGTTTCCTTGGAGCTGAGGAGGAGTTTACCATCTGCCATTGCATATAAATTGTACACAGTGTGATTTGAGGTTGCTTTTTTTTACAGACTGAACATTCTTAAATTTGACTTAATTTTGATCTGTGCATGGAAGGCGTTGAAACAACATTCGTACTCGAGATGAAACAATTAGAAAAATAATCAGAAACCATTTTGATTTTTGGTTATTTGTATCATTTATTTTTCAGTAGTGAAAATGAGATGATTTGCTGCTTTTCTTTGTCATGTGTAATTGTAAACTTAATATCTTTGGGTTTTAGACTGTTGGTCAAACAAAAAATACATTTTAAGACATCATCTTGGACTCAGGGAAGCTCCAGTAGGCATTTCTTTGACATTTTTTTCATAGACTAATGACTAATTGAATGAATAATAAATAATGACAATAATGGTTAATTGTGGCCCTAATTTAGACCATTATAGAGGGAGATCAAACTCACATGAACAGGTAAGTGAGAAAAAGCTTTAAAGTAATCAAAAACTTTCAAAGGATTCTTTGTGGTGGTTAATGATTTCTGGAGGAATCTGGACTCATGACCTTAATATTTCTAAAACCTGGTCTACAGCCCTGCATGTGTTTACTATAGTGGGGGAGTAAAAGACCTTTCACACAGCCATCTGACACTGCCAACAGATGAATCCTCCGGTCATGCCCTCCATCCTGCTGGTCATCTCTACTGTCCACGCCTTCCAGTATACGGAGCTGGTGCAGTACGTCGACAGCCATCAAGAGGAATATGTAGAGGTGCAATATCTTCTTCATGCTTTAGCTACACATTTTTAACTGTTGTGACATTGTGAATCCTAAAAAATAGCTTAAGAATTTAGTTTAGAAAAATCTACACAACAGACACTGTAAACTGAAGAGCAACCAAATACGCTGTAAAAACTCCCAGGAACTCACTAAAGGAAGTTATACTGATTGCATGGATATCAAGCAGTTCTATGTTTTAGGCCACAAGGGCTGAACAATTAATTAAAACTTTACTGAAATTGCAATTTGGCCAACTGATATTGCAGGAGCAAATGTGTCACAACAGACCATAAATGACCAATGTGGTGCTACAGAGACGCCCCCCCTACAAATCATATTTATAACATTAAAGGAAAAATTACATCATCATTTTTATTATTTATTAATATTTATTTGTTATTATCATTATTTACACTGAAAATGAAATGCAAAAATTACCATTGCCACTAAAATCATGACTCATATCGCAACATCTGTCAAAGTAATTGCAATATGAATGAATTTAAGTTATTATTATTATTATGAATAATATATATACTGTATCATGCTGGGCTGATTGAAATAAGCATGTTATAGCTACTCCTTGAACATTTGCTTTATTCAGCACCAGCAGTTGATTCACTCTGTTACATCGGATGTGCAACTGTCCCCTGTAGAGTAACACTTGGTAAGTACAGTAGAAACTAAAATAACTCAGAGGCTAGAGGGAATGAATGAACACCTTAAATATTGCACATCTATAATAATCACCAGAAATACAAATATTATACATTATAGAGAAACAACAGTAACTGAGTTCCTGAGTAATAAAGAAACTGTCCAATATCATTAGCAGTTATTTTACGGACCAAAATTTCATAATTTGTCAACAGGGAGAAATATAATTTCAAAATACTTCATGCAGAGTCATCAGTGTTGGTGATAAGTTGCAATGACTCCACTGCTCAGGGAAACAAAGCCAGTGTTAGCCAGAAGGTGGCAGTATGGCATTATGACAAGCAACTACTTATGAAGAGCAAATATAACCTTGCTTCTTGTTTTATTCCCTGAGATTCCTTCATTTAAAATTAAGCACGGGTCCTTTTGGTCATTGGACAATAATCGTGTGCAGCAGTCATGCTATATCATATTCCACAGGATGAGAAAGATGATGCTCTGAATGTGTTCGTGTACTTCAGGCTCTGCGGGACTGGGTTGCAATCGAGAGTGACTCCAGTAACGTCCTGAAAAGACCAGACCTGCATCGCATGATGGAGAAAGCGGCTCAGAAGCTGAGGCTGATGGGCGGGACCGTAGAGCTGGTGGACATCGGAGAACAGGAAGTCAGTGACAGAGCCGCCTCCCTTTTCGTAAATGCTGAGATATTAGAGCTCTGTATGTAATCATACTGGTTGGTAAATACTTATTGTATATTTACTGACACATATGTATTTGAAACAGAGAGTTTGGCTCATCAGGGAGGGTGACGACAGCAAACGAGTTGCTGACTTCAGAGCAGCAGAGGAGCAGTCAGAACTAACTACCTTCTCATTACTGACTGAGACACATCAAAGCTGCTTCCCACACCCACTGAACATATAGCGTGCTTTAGTTTAGCTCCTCAGCAGTAATTAGGCCCAACACAGCACAAACTGTTATTGTGTTAGTGAATGGTAAAAAAAAAACAATAGCAGATTACATAAAACTACAGTAGAGTTTATTTCAAATGAGCAGAGCTGAGACACACAGCTAGTTCAGCACTGTTTAGGGTTCCAAAGAGAAAAAAACGTACCGACTAATGTAACAGTGCAACCGTTCAAGCTGACGTTAACTCTCCTTTAACGTCCGCAGCTCCCTGACGGCCAGATGTTAGCATTGCCTAAAGTGGTGACGGCTCAGTTCGGCAACGACTCCAACAAACACACAGTGTGTGTTTACGGTCATGTGGACGTCCAACCGGCGAAGAAAGAGGACGGCTGGGCAACAGATCCCTACAACCTGACCGACATCAACGGTAACAGCCTTTAAACTCGAACTCAAACTTTAAACTTTTTCTTGTGATTTCTAGTGAATATCATGGCAGAATTTTAGGAAAATGGCGGGAATATTTCCATCTGATGGAATGATGAAGCCAGAAAAAAAAATTGGTGTGAACATCACATTCATTTCTCTTCATTTAAGAGAAGCTGATACACAGTTTATGTTTGAGATACTGACAGAGTGAAATATGATTCTTTTTTTTCCAACCATAAAGTTCCTTCAGGAGAAATCAAAGGAAAAGGATGCTAACATGTTAATGCTTCCTCAATAAGGTGACTGCCAGTTGATTCAGTCATGATATCTGATTGGATGCTCAGCCATCAGAAGAGTAAATGAATCTATGAATGGTGTTTGGTCAAGCTTTGTAAAAAAATGGAACCCATTCAATATTTCACTTCAGAGTGTTAAAGTCTATGAAACAGCCTTTTAGATTTTAAACTCATTAAAACTAAAGTATAATAATGATAATAATTAAACTGCAGTCAGGGCACATGCTACTTTTAAATGAAGAATACATTTATAAGACTGTGACTTTACATGAGTAAAAACAGAAAGTAAAGTTTCTCAGACCAGAACTGATCCGTATTTACACCCTAAGTATAGAATAACTCACTGTGCTTAAGCTAATAACATAAAAACAATTACAATCTGTCATACAATTATTAAAGCTAGCCGTTAAACATCGACAGTGCAGGTGGAAACAGTCATTGAACCAGTGGATTTAATAACTGGTTAGACCTGATACCCAGCTCTTCCATTAGCTGCTGATCAGAACTGCTCAATGTTCAGGAGGAAGTACTGGATCATACTTCCTTATAGAGCTGCTTCAGGTCAGACATGTTCTCAGGATGTCTGGTGTGAGTCCACAGCATCTCTACTGGATTCAGGACTGGGCTCTGACTGGATCACTCCAGAAGGTGGATTTTCCTTGATGTGTAGGGTCATTGTTCTGCTGCATCAGCAGCTTCTCCTGAGCTTCAGCAGGTGGACAGACACCCTGACATGAGAGAAGAGACCTTTGTAAACTTGAATTCATTTTCCCCTCGATGATATGGAGCTGTCCAGGTCTGGAGGCAGCAAAGACCCAGCAGCTTCCTCTGTGGTGTCTGTGTCAGGACTCCATGCTCCATGATGTGTGTGACTCATGACCAGAGATGTGAACCAGCTCCATTGATTCCTTTAAGCCTTCAGCTGTGACTCTGAGCTTCTTTGTTACTGATCATCTGTGTGGAGCTGTGGAGTCATCTTAGCTGGACTTCCACTTCCAAGGAGAGTAGCCACAGAACGGAATCATCTCCATCTGTAGACAGTTTGTCTGACTGTGGACTGATGAAGATCTAAAGTCTGTGATCCTTTCAGCTTCATGCTCATCAGCTCTTCTTCATCCTCAGTGTCTGAGATCTTTGTTGTGAGGCGTGGTTCACATCAGCTGATGTTTCTTGTGAACGCCAAACTGAAAAATAGTTTTTTGAGGACCACTGCTATAAATCGAAGTGTCTCTAATCCACACCTCTAATCTGGTTTCACTGACTGACTCCAGGTCTGATCCCTCCTGACTCCAGTTAGCTTCTGTACATGTTATAAGCTGAGGGTTTCACTAAGAATGTTTTAATGATGGACAAGAACAATACAATGATTTGTGTGATATTAGTTAAAATTGAGTGTTTGTTGTGTTGGTGATTACATATAGAAGCCAGTGTGAATGACAATGATTTACAATCATGTGAAGCCATGTTTTCATGTGTAATCCTTAAAGAAAAGTATCTATTTAACCAATAATGCTGACTACAGAAAGACACTGTTTTCACACTTGAATGTAATAATAATGAATAAACTTTATTTATATGGCACTCTTTACAAAAGACTTAAGCCCAAAATATGCATGCATCAAAGTAAAATAGAATATTTATTAAAACGATTAAATTAAATACAATTTAACCACTGAAATTAAAAGTAGGAGTCGTGCAGTAATTATTTAATAAAACTCAGACCACTGTGAGGGCTTCATCTATATGATGAATAAATATAATGATTGTTGTGTGATTGTGTCTTCAGGTAACCTGTATGGAAGAGGAGCATCAGACAACAAGGCTCCAGTTTTAGCCTGGATCCACGCAGTGGAGGCTTACCAGGCCCTCAACATGGTGAGGGAGAGTCCACAATACCACTCCTTTATTGGATAGTTCTTCATGCCACAGATCAACAAAATCAAATATGTGAGCGAGCCAGAGCCGCAGAGGCACTGTGACCTCAGATGAGACCAGAGGACAGATTAGAGTTGTATTTGCATCATCTTTGTCTTGAAATATAAAAAGGGGAATCAGAGAGAGATGCCTCAGGCAAGATAGACCCAACAGATTACTCCCATTTATTTAAGCAGACTGTTTTAGTTGAGTAAAATACTCCACAGATTTAATGGGAACAAACACACAGCACCCCTCAGGCTAGTGAGAGAGGAGGGCTGAGCTTCAGCCAAACTAACTTGCAAAGTCACTGCTGTTTCTGCAAAGTCACAGCAGCAGTCTGTTTCCCGCCGTCCTCGCTGTGAGAAAATAATACAGCTGAGTTTTCACATCAAAAGGCATCGTCCAGATGCTGGATGCATGAAGGAGAGAGAGTGTGTAGGTGTTGATGAGACTAGTTTCAAACAAAGCTAATGGCTCATTATCGTACAGTCTGCAAAGCCTGTTGCACCACCACTGGAATTTCAAAAAGGGATGCTTATCTTCCAAAAGTACACAGATTTCAGATGTGTTTCTTCTCCATCCGAAGTACTTCCTGCCACTTACTGCCTAAACACATCTGACTTTGATTTTCATCCACCAGGAGCTGCCAGTGAATGTGAAGTTTGTCATCGAGGGCATGGAGGAGACGGGCTCTAACGGCCTGGATGCCATGATCCTGGCCCAGAGAGACACCTTCTTCTCTGACGTGGATTATATCATCATCTCAGACTGCGGCTGGCTCAGCACACGACCCGCCCTCACCTACGGCACCAGAGGCAACTGCTACTTCTTTGCTGAGGTGTAATACTACAAACTGTGCCTAATCCTTAGCTCATTCACGCACTTCGCACCTGTGTGCTGCTGTGCTAAGTCACGGTAACGGTTGCCCCTGATGTGTTTTTGCAGGTGGAAGGACCTAAACAGGATTTACATTCTGGAGTGTATGGAGGCACCGTGATTGAACCAATGACTGACCTCATTGGAATTCTAGGTGGGTGTATTTTTAAATGTGTAGCATCTAGTACACATTCACTCATTCATTCATTCATTCTCACTATTCTCACTTAACTATGAAGCCAATTAAATGCTCTGTAGCTGTGTCCCAATTCAGGAGCCGAGGTTGTGGCCCTTCATACCCGTTGGTTTTGGTTTTAACAGTTGCACCGTTAGCTGTTGAACTGAGCTGAAACCCGATACTTACATTTAACAGTGTAATCCTCAGGCTCTCTGTTGGTGTTGTTTGATGCCATATTATTGTCATTACTGATGCGCAATGCATCTTTGGGTTCGTTGGGCCAGAGAGGATCCACCTGCTGGAGCTGCCATTGTCCAGGAAAAGAAGGATGCATTTGAAGGAGCCTTGGAAATCAGTCTAGTCGCGCCTCTGTGACACAATCACAGCCTTCAAATGCAGCCTCTGAAGGATGCGGCCTCTGAATTGGGACACAGCAATAATGGATATTCCCAAGCAAATTCATGTTTCGTCAAACCACCACAGAACAATTGACACATAATAGACATGGTCTTCTGTGGCACCCGGCAACATGTTCTCTGCTTTGTATTGTTTTTTTTCTTTGCTGACTCTAGCGCAAATCACATCCTATTTTATTAGCACAAAAACATTCAGTAGGTATTTTCTTAGATCACCTCCAAGGGCTGTGCAGTAATTAGTGAGTGTACAAGATCAGGAGGGTGGGGTGTTAAAGTCTTATGTGTTCCCTACTGAAGTGTTTCTGAGCAAGGTATTGAATCCCTCCAGGCCCCCGCAGCTCTGTTATATAACTGACCATGAACTCTGGTGTTAATGTTAAGTCTGAGGAGAGGCCCATTAAAGAAATAACAGTAGCCATTCTGTTGTTATTCTTCAGACACACTGATCAGCCCCAGTGGTAAGATCCTGATTCCTGGGATCAGGGACGCCGTGGCGCCCCTCTCTGATGAGGAATGGAGGATGTACCAGGACATCCAGTTTGACATTGACCACTACAAGAGCAAGATCGGTGTAAACCAGCTCATGTACAGCAACAAGGTGAAGGAAAAGTCTTGAAAAGGTCATCATTTATTATAAGACCGGGTAAGTGCACGAGACAGCTGATTTTCTACCCTGTGTTTCCTGTAGGTGGATGTGTTGGCCCACATGTGGCGCTACCCCACCGTCACCATCCATGGCATCGAAGGGGCCTTTTCTGACCCTGGCACAAAGACTGTCATCCCTGCTAAGGTTACTGCTAAGTTCTCCATTAGACAAGTTCCCAACATGGACCCTGCAATGGTCAAGAAACAGGTAAAACAAAACGTGAACGCTCCAAAAAAAAAACCAAAACAAAAGATAATCCTGTTTTTAGCAAATCGTTGCTTCCCATAAACCACCTCTGCTCTCTATGCTCTATGTTTTGTTCCTCCAGGTGACAGACTACCTTCACTCTGTGTTTGCCAAGAGGAAGAGTCCCAACACGCTGAAAGTCACCATGGTGATCGGGGCAAAGCCTTGGCTGGCTGACACTCAGCACCCTCTTTATGAGGCTGGGAAGGCTGCTGTCAAGAGAGGTACAGAGGACACCCCTCACCCCACATGAAGCACCCATCACTGCATCAAAATCCTTTATACAGACGGCGTAGCTGAAGTAAACTGTAAAACTATAAAATTATAAACAACCTAAAAAAAATAAACAAGCAGTAGTGGGAGCGGTACAATTATCCACTTGCATGGCTTCTCGTATCAGGTGTAGTTGGGTGTCGTGTCAGGTATCTCAACCCGACCACAAGGTCTCTGCACAGATCTTGGCCTGTCTCTGAGACAAAAACATGGATGAAGGAACGCAACCTTCAACTCAACCTTTAAGACCGAACTGTTAGTCATCCCGGCCAGTCAGTCTCTTCATCACGATATCAATATCAAAATCACCTCTTCATCTCTTACCCCAAACAAGGTCAAGAAAAACCTGGGTGTCGTGTTTGATGACCGGCTCTCCCTATCTCTCCTTTTTTTTTTTTTTTTTTTTTAGTTATTCTTTTGGGCGTTTTTGCCTTTATTCTGATAGGACAGTGAGAGATAGACAGGAAAGTCAGGGAGAGAGAGAGGCCATGGGTCTGACGCAAATCCATGGCCTCTGCAATTAGGACCAAGCCTATGTGGTATACGCTGTACCAGGTGAGCCACCGAGGCGCCCCTGACCAGCTCTCCTCTGACCATGTTGTGTCCTTCTACCTGTCGTGCCGCTTTGCTTCTTTACAACACCTGACTCAGTACGCCGCCCAGCTCTGGGTCCAGACTGTGGTTATCTCTCACCTGGACGACTGCAATGCTCTTCTGACAGGCCCTTACAGATGATCCTGAATGCATGTCTGGTCCGTCTGGTCTTTAATCAACCTAAAAGGTCACATGTCACTCTGCTCCTCGTGGACCTCCACTTACTACCCACAAGCTCCTGAATCACATTCAGTCTCTAATGCTGCCGTCAGAGAGACTTCTGGGAATGCTCCATCTACTGGATCTCAGTCATTCAGCCTTATGCTGCTTCTCAGCCACTGTGCTCCTCTAATGAAGGTGGTCTGGCATCACCATCCCTGCACACAGGACAGTGTCAGTCCAGACTGTTCAGGTCTGTGGTTCTACCAGAGCGGGGCGCCTCCTCTCTTCAGAGAGACCTCCTCTCCTAACACCTCTAACACCCCGACATGTCTAACTAGCTCTGACTATCAACTTTCACTTCACTTCTTTACTTGATCTCCTTGCACTTATTGAACAGATGTAGTCCTTAGATACACCAAGGTCTGCTACTGCACTGACGCTTTAGCGATGTCCCTCACTTGTGAGTTGCTTTGGATAAAAGCGTGTGGTAAATGTGTAAATGTAAATGCAGTAATACAAATACTAGTAATACATTGTGCCATATTGTGAGAGGCATTCATGCTTTTCACATCAATCTAACTGGTCCTCTGCAAGTTTACTCTCCAGTTGTTATCAAATTCTGTGCATCAAGCTAATACTTTTTCCAAAGCTGATGTTTTAAAAACCGAAGATTTTTACCAATTTTATCAATTTATGAGCTTCTAACTCTGTACCATGGGTTTAATGTGAATTCTTAATTGGCAGATCCACAGTTATCATTTCTACACGCAGTGGTGCAGAAAACAGAATATTTCTCTCTGACATGTAGCACAGACATTCCAATGCACTGAAGCCTGGAGAATTACTCAAGTAAAATGCCAGTACCTCGTAACTGCACTTAGTAAATGCACTGACTTGATCTGTCATACAGTATACACCAGATGTAGGAATCCAAATAAAGAATGATATATGCGGAATAGCCTCATCATCAGCAGTTGCTGTTCCTGTGGACCCGTTCTTGTTCTCAGTCTATGCTTCGACTTGAACATTATAACTATGAACATATATTTCATATGCAGTACCTGTTAAACTTCTCTTCTCTGCTTTTATATTTAGTCTTTCTTCCTTTACTGTTGATTTCGTTTTTTTTATCCTTTGTAAAGTGATTTGTCACTCAGACATGAATGCTTTAGGAAATCTTGTTTAAGTGACACATGATTCATATAAATGTGAGACAGCAGAGAGTTCATGTCCATCACTCTCAGATATAAAATCTCCTCCCTTCTACAGTTTTTGACACGGATTCTGATCTGATCCGTGAGGGCGGGACCATCCCTATCGCCAGAACCTTCCAGGATGTGACGGGAAAAAGCATCATCATGATGCCGATCGGAGGCTTCGATGACGGGCTGCACTCCCAGAACGAGAAGATGAGCAGGTTTGACTATATTGCTGGGGAATGTGAACCTCTAATGCGGTCTCCTCCTCTCTTCATCTTCCACAACCTTGTGCTGAAATAATCCCTTAACCTGATAGTCATCATTTTTGGATTTGGATGATAACGTACAACAGCACTAGGACAGATGGACAGCATCTGGAGGAAGCGAAGAATAGATGGCTATAAAGCTGTAAAAGTTCTTTGATGGTAAGGTGAACACTGTGAGACCTGAGAAGCAGAAATAAAGATATGCTGATCTGGATCCAGGGGGATTTGTCAGTTTTACTAGCTGCTGGTGGAACAGGGACTTGATTCTCTGTACCCCCTCAGGGACATCTGAGAAGCTGTACTGTGCCTGGCTGCTGCTGTGGATGATGGTGTTGCTAAATTGATTGTATATGTACAGGAGACGCACATTGAAACAGACAACGTGTTTCGTCTTTCTTCTCTCTCTCTCACAGGTACAACTACATCGAGGGAACCAAGTTATTCATTGCCTACCTGAACGAGGTGTCCCAGATCAGGAAGACAACTGTGTGATGTTGTGCAGGGTTGTTAAGTGACCCTCTCAGGCATTCCAGCTACCATGAGCTCTCCATGACACCTCTACTTCTACCTTACAGCATCTCCACCTTCAGTCTAAATAAAAACTTATTTAAACCTGTGAATGTGCTATCTATCTATCTATCTATCTATCTATCTATCTATCTATCTATCTATCTATCTATCTATCTATCTATCTATCTATCTATCTATCTATCTACCTATCTGTCTGTCTGTCTTTCTGTCTGTCTGTCTATCTATCTATCTATCTATTTTAGTATTATTTTGACATTGTCAGAGAATGTATTCATCACTCTCACTTTGCATATGTGGCATCTGTTTTTTCTCCATATAATGTCAAACTGTACTGTAAGTGTGTGTCATGTAGTAAAAGCTGTACAATGCAACAGCGTGAGTATTTTCTTTTATCATATAAGAGTGTTGAGTGTTAATATTGAGACAAACAGAAACACATGCATATATACTGTTCCTTCAGTCATGAGACATTTATTTAGCAGTCAAACAATCACTGAAGACTCATAAAGTGACTCATTTCAGAGATAAGGCTCAAAACCAAACAGAGGCTGCGCATGCAGATGCAGCTGGACAACTGTGAGTATGGACACAATCCAGCTTTTGTCTGAGACAGAGTCCTATTCATGTGTCAAATACATGTGCTTTACTGTACTATGCATCTGACAGTCGACATTGTTCAGTAAGAATGTTGCAAAACGTCTAAACGAGTCATACAGTCTCAGATTTGGCATTAAAGAAAAAAACACCAAAAATGATGCTAATTCCACTTGTTCACATTTAAGTTATTTTTTTATATTTCAGAAATTCTTTTATAGTAAAAGGAATGACAATAATATTTTTTTATACTTTACTGTTTCAGTTACTGTCATTGATACATTTCCTGCTATTCCAACATCTTCCAGAGTGAGTAGTAGTGTAAGTGTACAGCAGATGTTAGTAATATCTATCTTTACATACATATCTGTACCTAGAAAACAAAAAAACAAAACTCATACTTGATAGAAAACAAAGTAATAGTAATGATAATAGAAAAAAAAGACATTGGTGTTTCATTGTAAAAGTAGACCCAGTTTCACGTTATCTTCTTAAAACATGATCCTGATGTTTCATTCACATTTATATAAATATAATCAGTCAGTTACCTTTCATCACGTTTCATTTGAAGAGGGCTCATCTTTTTGTTCTTACTGATTCTATAAGTTTTCCATTCTGTATCTATATCTCTATCTTCTACAGATGCTAGTCACTTGTTTAACTTGGGAGGTTCCAGTTTTTCCCGCCTTTTGTTATTTGCTTTAGAGTTGTAATTCTCATAGTGTAAAATGTATTTATCAATAATAATTATGAGACATCTTTAACTTGTGCATAATACAGCTGTAATAATGTACAATGATACATGACCACACACGAACAGCATTTACTTACTGTTTATACACATGTACAAATCATCCACAGTTCAATTTCAATTTCATTATGTTATCAGTGGTTGCTGACAAATATATTAGTATCTGTTTAAATGATATTATAGTGCATTTTAAAACACTTAGTAATTGTTAATAGACTGCTTATAAATGCTAAATAGCAACAGCTTAAATGAAAATGTGAATTTCTTGGAGTAGGATAAGAGCGGGTCGGCCCAGTAGGGCGTTCCTGCAGTTTCAGGACAACATTTCCAGGAACCTAGTTTTTTGCGACACTGCCACCTAAGGAAGTGGACACTGGGACCGCATTTCAGTAAGAAGATGGACGACAATGAAAGTGTGAGACAGCACTTATAAATGTATTATGAGTAGCAAACTAATTAATTTATTATTTTTTTTTAATATTTTTTAAATTTAGGGTGGAATAAACTTTTAAAACTACATGTACTTGGACAAAAGTAGTGTTTGGGTAGAATAGCTCTTCACGGCAGCTTGTGCGATCTGGGGTCCCAGAAAATACGGTCATGAAACTGCGTTCCAGATATCAGCCTGTGGTACTCCTATTCACCAGGTGGCCCTGGCACGTCCGAGTAGCTTCCTAGAAATGCAGGTTGTGGGTGGGTTGTCCACTAATCAGCGCGTTGGCGGTTCGATCCCCGGCTCTTCCCATCTGAGTCACAAAGTGTCCTTGGGCAAAAATTGCCCCCGATTCCATCAGTGTGTGAGTGTGTGTGTATGGGAGTGATGCACGCATGTGTGAGTGAATGGGTGAATGTGATGAGTGTTGTTAAGAGCTTTGAGTGGTTGAAAAGTGCTATATACTACGTGCAGTCCATTTACCACTATTCCACCTGCTTCCAAGACAAAGGCATTTGTAGAGTCAGACAATTGTTTCCTGATGCGTGCAGCAGCTGTTTTATTCTTCACTTCCCAGGGTGCCTAGAACCAGTCTAAGGTATTAAGTGGTGAATATACGTTGAACATCTCTGGCACTGAGTCACATAAGCAAAATGTTTGTTAAAAAAATAACAAATAAGCTTGTTATGTCTAAATACTGATTTTGGTAAGGAAATCAAATGAGCACAAACCTTTTTATATAATTACAGCAAATTGAAATTCTATTTAAACAGCTTCAGACACACTATAACTCATGTCAATACACAGCGTTCAGTCCCAAAATGACAAAAATGAGTTGATAACAGTTATTGATGAGGGGTCAGGTTTCATCTAAGCATCTGTTACCACACAAGTCTTTGTTTAACACACACATATTTCATGTTCAGTCTTTGAGGAGACGTCCAGTGTCATGTATCCCAGCAGGAAGTGGTGGGGAGGAACCCTGGTGTTGTGAAGAAGCCGTGCCCGACACTTCAGCGGCCTGATTCACAACACCAGCTGACCCTCCCCACCTCCACACACACACACACACACACGCACACACACACACATACACACACAGTACTGTAGTACAGTACAGAGACTGTGTGAAGCAGTGTGATGGAGTTCATCTTCAGTGAACGAGACACCGGCCTGCGTCTACCCATCTTCTCTTTGAACCAGACAGAGTACATCTTAATTCTTTGCCTTTTTAACATTAACAGTAGTGCGCCGAGAACACTCACCTTTCCTATGCGGTGCACTTATCTCCTCAGACGAGCGTGCAGCTGACTGCAGCGGTAGTGAAAGTTAGTGAAATGAGAAAGAGTGGAGCAGGAGGGGAAACTGGGACAGAGCAGCATGAGTGCAGCACATGCTGTGTCCACTGGAGGGCAGTTTGCATTCAGCAGCTTCCTCCTCTCTCTGCTCGCCGGCCACACACACACACACACACCGCGACTGAACCTGCAGCACAGGAGATAGACACAGCAGAACTAAGGCTTAAAAAACAAAGAGAAAACCTTAAAAAAAAAAAAATCACATGAAGGTTCCAGCAGGTGATTATCTTTAGAAAACCTCTTACAGAATCTCAGCGCGGCAGCACAGTGAAACACAAGGTGGCACTTAAATGTAACAGTGCTCTATTTGGTTGCCTATTTATAAAGTGCTTTGGTATTGAGGACAGGGCCATGATGGAGCTGAGAATAACTTTGGTTTCACAGCGGCGAGCTTTAATCCACCTTGAAGCAACCCGCTGTGGATGAAAGCTGAAATCATGTCATGGTAAAGTGGGTTTACAGTAAAATGATCTTCAGGCAGTGTTTCAGTCTGACATGAAGTTTTACTAAATAAAATCCTGTATATGACTGTTCTTGAAATAATCAATTACTTACTATCAGAATTACAGTGAAAAAGCTTCAGACATCAAATAAATTCTATGGAAATAAAGTCTATGAACATTAAATATAACATTTTTTCTGTCAGAGATAAAGCAGTGACATGTATAAATACACTTAAAATATCAAAAGAAAAAATTACTCAAAATAGACCTTGTCAATGTTATTTTCTTGTATATTATGTTATTGATCTATTACACCTGGTGTAGTAAATCCCCTCGCCCTACCCCATTCCTCTCCCTGGCCTTCTTGCCTCATGTATGGGAGCAGTACCAGGGTCTTATTCAGGAGCCCTCTGTGAACAAAGAAGCTGGCTGAGCCTCATCCTTCAATATGTTGGACTATATCATTTGAGTAGTGTATATGGGATTTAAATAAGTTTGCTTTGTTTGACAGATTATCTTGAAACATATCGCCTACCACAGGTTTAAATGTGCCAATTGAATAAATCAAAAGTTTCATTCCTCCACTGGTTTTAAACACACAGTCTGTAACTAGGAGATGAATTATCCATAGAGGTGAACTTCTCTCCATAACAAATGGACCAGGGGATTAAAACTGGTAGAAACACCCATAAAGCAGTTTCACTTCAAAAACCAGTGATTCACTGACACAGTTCAGGGAACACAATACGTGTCGGAGCTGAGCTGTCTAACATTTCCTCAGCTTGTTTCTCTGATAACTTCCAGACGTCCGATGACTAAAATCCTTCATCTGGTTCAAATATAGAGCTGAAAACCACCAAGGTGCAAAAAACTTATCTCAAAAATGTGGTTAGGGTGCATACCACGTGGGCGCAAGTCCATGATTCAACTTCCCGCTGGACAGACTCTTTGCTGCATGTCATTCCCCTTCTCTGTGTCCCTGCATTTCCTGTCTCTCTACACTGTCCATTCAAATAAAGGGATAAAATGGCCAAAATAACTTTAGAAAATGTGTCTTAAAACTAGATAAAAGTCAATTTGAGCTTCTGTCACAGCCAAGCGACTAAATGCCACGTATCGTTACCATGGTTAAAATCACAGATTTCTCTGCTTTGAGAATTGATGGAAACATTTGTGATAATGTAAGAACACAACTCAACAACATATAGAACATAGGTCTAGTTGTTTTTAGACAATTTAATTTGGAAAAATTACAGATTATAATTTTAAATATTAAGTTAGTAGTGATTCTTGGTATCCTGACTCACATTAACCCCTCCGTTGTCTGATGCTATTCGATCACGCCATTGTCCTGCTGAGGGTTATGTGTTTGGCGCTGATGCAAAGCCAACAGCTTCCACATCTAAAACATTTCAAATATTTGTAGTTTTGTGTGTAAATGCAGAGAACACACGCGTCCTCGCAGCTCTGGTGGATAAACTCTGCTCCCTCTCAATGAGCAGCTTCATACACTGAAGCTGAACCCAGCTGTGTCAGAGCGCAATGTGGGGCTGTGGGTGAGGAGCTAGTTTGCTGTCGCACTTGCGCTGCTCAGCTGTTTTCCTCTTGTGAAATTGGGTTTTAACTGTGGCCTTTGACCACTCCATTAATCACTGGTTTGTCCTTCTGCCTCACCAGCACCAGGACGGGTCAGGCCTTCACTAATTCCTCCACAAGCCACCGTGTCACACTCGACATAATATCCCGGCAATACATTTCTCCTAATCTCTTTTCATCAGGTCTGCTGGCCTTTCTGCTCAATCTAATTGCAACAAAGACCACATGAGGGCTTTTGTGCCAAAAGAAAGTTCTTTTACAGTTTCAATTAAATGGCTGGGCTGGACCAGGGAAGCTCTTGGCTGAACGCCAGTGTCCTTCAGACAAAGAATGTAACTGTGGATAATGGATAGAGACACTTCAGCGAGGAAGAAGGAAAAGAGGAACAGAGTGAGGGGAGAAAAGAGAACCCATCCCGACGCTCGCCTCACCATTAAGCTCATTTCACAGCCAAAGGTTCTGCAGTTTTTTGTTGTTTTTTTTTTTTTTTTGCGGGGGAAGGAGCACAAAGATTTAAGTAACAATCAAAACTAGCTTGTGGGATTATGAGCTGGAGGAGACGGTGTGTATGTGTGTGTGTGTGTGTGTGTGTGTGTGTGTTTGGTCCAGGCTACTACTTGGTTTGGTCCAGGTTATTACTCATGTTGTGGGAACCTAAATCTGTTTACACAGTCAGCTTATGGAGACAAAAACAAGTCCCAAAATCATTAAGCCTGAAAGTGAAGACAGGTTTTAAGGTTAGAGACAACTATGTGTGTGTGTGTGTGTGTGTGTGTGTGTGTTGAAGAAGTGCTTCATACTTTCAGAAAATGTGAACAAAGTGGAGGATTAGAGCTTGAAGCTTCTGGTCAATGTGTTATTTAAAGGCTTCCATTGATTTCCATTGTGTTCGGTTCTTCAACACGTCTGGAAGACTCTGTTATTTTGGTCAGGAGGGTCGTGCTTATCTTCAGCCGCTCACATTAAATCTACGGAGATAAGCTTTCACGTAATGTTCTAATTTCAATTGGTGGTTGTTTCTCAGCTGATCTTCCTCTAAATGTCAGAACTGATCTTAAGATCTTCCTCAGGGTCTACAAATCTCTCTGTAGCTTGGAGATGTTAGACCTGAGACTCAGGTAGATCCCTCCACTCATCTCACTGTAGTCCTCAGGTCTGACATCACGCAGTGTTCTTCAGAAAGCTGGCGATGGCCGGATTTGTTCGAAAAGCTCATGTTTCCTTGATTCTGTTGCTCAGTTAAGAAAAATGCACCAACAGCAAGAGAGAAATTAAATGACAATATAAAAGCACAGATATATATTGAACTGTTCCGCACGTCACGATTCCCTTCTGTCTCTGCTACAGTGACAGAAAATGGAATAAGAGCCTGAACTTCTATGTACAAGCACGTGTATCGACCTGCTGTGCCCCATTTAATCACGATCACACCTCCACACAGACAGTTCTCCAATCCTGAGCGATTGACGTCTCACTCTTTTTTCTTTTCTTTTTTTTTTTCAAATGCATCCAAAACAAGCGATTTAAGAGTAACTTCAACGGGGAATAAAAGAAGGACAGAACATATAACATTAAATATTACTCAGAAACTGATTCACAGATTTCGATAGTGACGAAGGATCCGAGACCTTGATCCGGTTCCAGCAGGATCCGGCACTAATGAGGTCCTTACAGCCTCTTTTTTTTTTTGCTTCTATATTTTCCCTGTTGTGTATTTTAACAACGTCCATATATGTTCCCGGATTTCACTTTCTCTTCGCGGAGTAAATGACTACCACTGTCTCTCTGTGGATATTGCAGTGGCAGAAGTACATTTACTCAAGTGCTATACTTAGTACAGTTTTGAGGTATTTGTACTTAACTGTTTTAATTTCATCTTCCTTTGTACTTCGAGTGCATTTCAGAGGGAAATGCTGTACTTTTTATTCCTCTACATTTATCTGACAGCTTTAGTTACTAGTTAGTGTGAAGATTAAGGTTTTATACAAAATATGTTATATTAGATTTAACTACCCAACAGTAAAAAGTAGTTAGAATTATATAAAATACTGCTTACACAGTAATCCAATAGCATAATAACACATTGACAGCGGTGATTCTGCTGCTTAATACTTTAACTTTTTATAGTTTAAGTACATTTTGCTGCAAATCCTCTGAACTTTTACTTAAGTAAGATTTTGAATGCAGGACTTTTACTTGAAGGAGTTATTCTACCTGTTTCACCCCTGCCAGGTGCTGATAGACCAGAAATAGAGGCACTCGGGCGACATCAACACCAGAGATGCTCACAAGTCATTTTTTTTCAAGTCCAAGTCAAGTCTCAAGTCTCTTATGGTTGTAATAAGTGTTCTGTCCCTTCCTGCTGCCACTGCATCGCCATATCTAATGAATTCAAAGCATATCCTGCATCATCATCACTTCCTTATCTATAAAGTTAACCATGATACTAAGGGAGAGAACAGGGATGGAGTTCGAATAACAATCGTCATAGACTTTTGACTTGGACTGACCCACCAGAACCTGTCTGGAGACACCATCGCATCTGGCCTGTCACATTTTACAAGAATCATGTCGCACACAGAGGAAAACAACACATCAAAAAGAACAACCAGCTCTTTTTTGTAACTTTCCTCTGTATGAATTAGCAGCTATAGAGAATATGAAATTAGAGTTCAGAGTACATCACCAGACATCTCTTCATTTTAGCAGTTTTTCTCCTTCAGTGAATCTTTCTTTAATAACATTCTGTAGATCTGAGCTGATCACAGACTTTGAGGTCTGATGAAGCAAGAACAGAAAATAAAGCACCTCTAAAAGCTCTTTCTGTTGTCCTCTGCCGACTGCTTATTCTATAAAAACTGGACTCACTCCTGTCTGTTGTCTGCACAGTAACTGCTGATAGATGCACAACTATTTGAAGCGTCTGGATTTTTCTGGATTTTAATTTCTTTTCTCCGAGCTCTCTCTGACTCCCGGACCATCAGAGCTGATGGTCAGAAATATGCTATTCACGTGCTGCTTCCTGTCGGACAGGAAGTGAGTGATCCACCTGCGGGTGGAGTCAGGCACGCTCAGCTGGGAGAGCTTA